GCCGCCATATCGCCTCGACGCCTGACGTCACCTCCTTCCCCACACTCGTTGCCGCCCACCACGACGCGTTACCTCCTCACCTAACGCCGCTCGACGTCCACGCGCTTCCCCGCGTCCTGCTTTGGCGGATCTGCCACACACCCACCGCCTCGACGCCGCCTCTTCACCCACCGGCCTTGTTGCCTCACGTTAGCTCCTCCCATCGTCTCCCGACCTCCGCGCCGCCCCCACGTGTCCCTTCCCCACCAGTCCTCTTCGCCCACCGCCTAGATGTCCGCCTCACCCCCTAGGCCCCGCGGGAGGCCTCCGCCCAGCGCCTAGTCGCGCCTAGGCGACCGCGGAATGTCGCCTTGTTTTTCACTGTCTTTTACAGAGAAATAGCAAATGGAAGTTATCTGGGTTGTGAATTACAAACAAATTCTGAACCAATATGTTTTTTAGAACACAAAAAGCTCATGATCCTTGAAGTTTCGAGGAAAAGCATCCAGTAACAGCCTACCCTCACTTAAGTGCCTCACATCATAAAGTGCTTATCTTCTACATGAACAAAATAATTAGAGCTTCAGCATTGTTGGCAGACATGTTCCTCACAAGAACAGAATTTCACAATAGATCAGAGACAGACCATCACTATATAGAATACAAATCGGGTATCTTGTGAACAATGTTTAAAGGTTAATCATGTAGCCTCCTAGGCATCACCTAGGTGCTAGACGCCACGCTCCCGCCTAGCACCAAAGTTGCTGCATAGCCCACCTCCTAATGGTGCCACCTGCTTGTCACTTTTTAGAGCAAAGAGCCATCCAATAGTAGTACCACCCAATAACAAAAATAAATTTGCATAGATGCAGCACAGACTCATCTTGGTTAGCCACTGTATCAACCTGATTATACTGCTTGTTCCCCCAAATCCCACACTGAGCAAACAAACTGCATCATTTTCCCCCCGGATCGATGAAATCACCAATGGCACGGAACAACTCGAACAAGCAGATGGATAACATCACAGACGCTACCAAGCTGGCCACTCGATCAGCTAATTACCAACACTCGACGCACGAATTACCCGCTGGACCCAGCCCCACCTCCAGCCCCCACGCCCAAATCCGCAATGCCGCTCGACTCGAAGCTAGACTAACGGCTCAATCAAGCGTGGCCGCCGCCTGCCTTGCATGAGCTCAAAATCCGCGCGAGGCAATAAGAGGTAAGGGAAATTTGGGGAGTGCCGAACAGGTGTGGGGCAGTGGGGGCGCCATCCGTACCCTTTGTAGACGTCGCCGAAGGAGCCGCGGCCGATGAGGTCGCGGCTGCTGAACCGCGCCTCGATGGCGGCCGCCATCGATGCTGAATCCGACATCCTTCGTCACCCCCGAGATCCCGCCGCGCTAGGATTTTGGAGGTCAGAGATCGTTGCTGGGTTCGCTCGCCGTCTTCCTCCCGCCTCTAGGGTTTGGATTCACGGCGGTGTTCGTCTCGCGCTACACACTGCTCCCGGTTCCGCTCATTTCGAGAAGTCGCGAGATTTGTCGTTGGTACCTGGTTTGTGTCTGTTCGTCCGGGAGATGGAGATGGTGGGGCCGCGTAGGAGGGGCTGGAGCCTGGAGGTAGGGTAGGGAGGTCAGGATGTCGTGTGACTGAGACCTGCTGTGAGCCTGCGACAAAGAGCGGCGGACTCTCATCCGTCCCAAAATAAACGATATTCATTTTTTTTTAATTTGACTAAATGTATTTATATTTATAATGTACAGTACTATACTAAGTATCATTAGATTGGACATGAAGTATATTTTCACAATAACCTTATTTGACGATACGAATGTTGATACTATTTTCTATATCTCTAGTTAAACTTCAAAAAATTCTTGAGAAATGAGATGTGGATTTATTTTGGATAGAGAGAGTACTCCACAGCTCGATAAAATATGATTATTAGCCTTTTAAAAGAAATGTTTTTAAGAACATTTTATTGCTTCACCAATCACCACCCCAACTTCCCAATCAGTTGCAGCCCTATGATAAATCCAAAATTCCCTCCATTTCTCCCCATTTAACACAAGTGATGTGCTCCTAGTCTTAGGTAGAACGAAGCTACGTGAACCATTGTACCTTCGAACCGTATGATAAATTCATAATAAACTTCTTTGCAAACTACATTCTCATTCACAAGCACATTGTGTACAAACAGAACACACGCTATGCAAACCCCGATCCTGAAAAAGATTTCGTACCTTCTCGGCAAAGGAACTTCTTCATTGCCAGAGGCTCGTAAAGTCTCATCACTACCTAGCACAAGATCTTCAATGATGTAATTCTACACCGCCAGACCGACTTGGGAATTGCCGATTAGATAGGTAATATCGGCCCTGTTTGTTTCTGTTTATCTCACGATGGCATGCCGTGATTGTGATTTTGTCGACCGCCCATAAGAACAAAAATGGAGAAATGAATTACACCGCTGATTCCCCATACTGCGACCGCAGAACCACAATTGGGATATCGTTGTTCCGAACAGGGCCATCACCTTCTTTTCAGGAAACTTGTTCTGAAAGAGGACTCCTCACCGTTGGACTAGATGTCGATCACATATCTGCACTCTTTATTCTAGATCCAGACTTTTCTCGAGACGATAAACCATGGGAGCCAAATGACCCTACACCCGAAGACATCTATACGCCCACACATAATTAATAAAAAGCACAATTCGTAAAATACCAAAGACAAGGGCAATAAAAACTATCTTTGTCGAATTTGTAGAAATCTGATGCTCGCAAATGAGTTGCAGCAACAAGCTTCGAAAACAAGAGCACCACCAACAAACTTCAAAGCACAATGAGAAAAGCAACCGGCGAACGAGCCTCCAGCCCAGTGGTTGGAGCTCCTCGGTAGCACCCAAGCAAGCTAGGTTGGAATCCCCATGGGGACGAATTTTTGGGCTAGGTTAAAAAAAAGGCAGAGGGCTCCCATGCCGACAGTTCAAAACGAGAAAGGAGAGTGATGGTGGGAGATATACTCAAACGATATAGGAGGGACAATTTGGTCTGGAAGATATATTTTTTGTTAGATTTAAAGTAGGCTTGACCCATATTTTATTTAATAATTAAATCAAATAAATTCTAAGGCCATATTAGATGCTAGGTGCAATAAAGTGGTGCACTAAATGTAGTTGATGACTGAACTTTGTAACGGTCATAGTTATGACTACGCTTACTAGTAACTCCTATTATTATGGTTGTAGTTACTAGACCTCATGTTTATGGCCGAGGTTACTAGTAATTCATGAGATTTCATGGCGTCCAGGTTCATCCTCTCTACACTTCACCTTCCACCTTCCGCGACTATAAGAAAGGTGTGCTCGCCTTCAGCCGCGCGAAGATACAACATCCAGCACCATCGTTCTTCTGTTGAGTTGCTCCCGAGTATCTCCGTCCCAATCCTCTGTGCGCACAGAGAGTTGGGAGAGCAGGCCTCCGAAACCGCCGTCAGCATCTGCGACACCTGCTCGGGTGTGCGGACGATCAGATTTTTGGGAAGCGTCTCCACGACTGCTCGCTTCTTCCTGATGACTCCGACGTCTTCTTCTTCTTTTTCCTCGGATCGTCTATTTCTTGGTGGACGTTCGAGGGACTGCATTGCGAATATCATCCTGCATGGACTGTGGTTCTCGACATCGAGCAACGCACTATGTCGACTAGTGCGCGTGGAGCCGCCGGTGCCTTGAGCATGAGTCCCTCCGCTGGGTATAACTCTATCCTTGAATTTGATAAATTTAATATCATGTTTTTCGCTATGATCAGTATGATGTTCGTGTTCATATTTGATACATCTACGAGTAGTATATTTACACATGTGCACATACATGTTGCCACAAATTTGCTATGGTATTTCTGGATTATATTTAACTTGAAAATGCCTAAATTCCTAATAATTTTGGTACTACGGATAATGTTCTCATGGAATAAAAAGGAGAGTGATCGTAAGAATTATTTACTTAGGTTACATGACAACATCGCACAATCTAAACATAGAAATTTATATACTTCTATTGCCTACATGTAATTATAAAAGAATCCAATAATAACGAGTTTTTATGTTCGATACAGTGCTATTATTTGTTTTCAAATTATAGTACACTTTAGTTTTTTTCTAAGTTAAACTTTTGAACTTTGATCTAGTTTATAGAAATACTCTCTAACATTTACAAAATCAAAATCAAATTAGTTTTATTAAATTATCCACTAAAAACTATGTTTATTAAATTCTCCAAGAAATATGTTTGGATGCTACGTTTATTTGAACTTAATTTTTTGAAAAAACAGTCAAAACTAGAAAGTTTGACTAAGAGTTAAACTAAACAGTTAAGAATGGAGGGCGGAGAACACAAGAAACGTTTGTTATTGCTACGAGTATTAATTGTTTCACGAAAAATTCTACAAAAATATTATACACTAGACTTTAGGCAAATGAAAATCTTTATACCCTAGTTTCAAAAAAAAAACTTATATACCCTAGACTTTCAGTAGAGGGGCGTGTATTTCAATATAGGGCGAACTGAATATAAGGACGGCGCCAATGCATTTGCCAAATGAAAGATTAGAAATTCAAACATGTACTCCTTAACTCTTTGCATCACGGGGTGGGAGTGGGACTTGGGACCTAGGGGCGGTGCATCCAGCTAGCCAATCACACGGTGCGAAACAGAAATTGAATCAGACGGTGGTAGTCGTTCAAAAAAAGGCTGAGGCTGCGTTTGGATATCGATATTGGAGAGTTTGCTATTGAATTGGTTCCAATACCAAATCAGATATGACATTGCATTGGGCTACAATTCAATTCTATTGTTTTTATGGCTATTGCATTGACTTTTGGAATCCTCTGAAGCATCCAATTCGATTTCCTGTTTGGATGCACGCAACCATGGAATTGAAAAAAGAAGGGAGCGGCGGCACGCCTCGCCGAGGGCAGGGAGGACCGGCATGCCTCGCTGGCGGAGGAGGCAAGGGATGGCAGTGCCGCTCGCTGGTGGAGGATGCAGGGAGTGGCGGCGCTGCTCGCTGATGGAGGAGGCAGGGGAGGGCGACACGGCTTGTTGGTGGATGAGGCAGGGGAGGGCGGCGCTGCTCGCTGGCGGAAGAGCTCGGGCTGAGGTCGACGGAGGCCATGGCGGGGAGGAGCTCAGGCGGAGGTCGGCGCCGGCCATGGAGGGGAGGAGCTCGGGCGAAGGTCGGCACCGGCCATGGCGGGGAGGAGCTCGCGCGGAGGAGGCCATGGCGTGGAGGAGTCCGGCAGTGGCCATGTCAGGGAGGAGTTCACGCGGAGAAGGCCATGTCATGGAGGAGTCCGGCGGCGGCAATGACGGGGCGGATCTGGTCCCCCTTGGCGGCGGCCATGGCGGGAAGCAGCCTGGCCGCAGCCATGGTGGTAGCTCAGGCAGAGATGGAGGATGAGCAGCCACCAAAGGAGGAGGAGCCGGCAGATCAATGGAGATGGAGGAGCCGCTTGATTCGCTGGCGTCGGAGACAGGGAAGGAGGGAGCGGTTCTATTTTCTCGTGAAACTCGAATCCCTGTAATACCAAGGGGTAAGGCTCCGTATTGACGGATGCGGCAAGCAAGTGTTGCGAATACCGGTTGGTATTGAACTCGATTTCCAATTCTGAATTCTATACCATTCAAACAGCTGCATTCAGTGCTAGCCAATACCAATTCCAATACCTATGACTAAATATCTACATCCAAACGCAACATGAGGGAAGAGAAACGCTGCAGTGTTTCCGTGTTACCAACGAATGTTCCTCAAGCGCACAAAACTGAACTGAACCAGCAGAAAAACACTGCTTTACACAGAAAAACCACAAACCCGCCCTTCAGCTACAAGCACGCAGGCTCAGCAGTCAAGCATGCTTGCAAAAAACAGGGGCGTTTGAGTTTAGTATCATCAATAGGAACCAAATTTGCACGGCTGCAGATTAGGCTAAAGTCTGTGGCGTCTGCCATTGGTCATACAGGATGCGATATATAAACACAGGACAATCCTCGCAAATTGCACAGACAGCAACATCGCTGTGCAGTGCTGGTGGCCAGCTAACTGTCAGCAGTGCAGCAAACGATCCAAGTTTCTTAGCTACTTTGTACAGTATGAAGACCAAGAGACGTTTGTCTTCATCAGAGGAAAATCGGATTAGCTGCCTCAGCACCCACTCCATCTCTGTGCTTGAACATTTTCAGCTGCACACAGAGCCTTCCTTCTTCAGAGGCAATCAGTGTCCCTTGGGACTTGAATTTCATCCCCACCTTCCCGACTCCGCTTCATTGATTCTGGTGTGCTTGAGTCTAGAGATGAAGATGTGGTCATTGTGAAATGAGACTGGGAGATCTGCCAGGGATCCATGGCCTCTTGTTCCTTGAGTGCCTCACCCCCGTTTAGTAGAGGAACGGTGCCACCAAACACCATGCCACACTTGCTAGCCTGATAAGGTACCGGGGTGCCTGGGTACCGATGAGGACTTAAAGGATCTTGAAAGAGTGAAGGTTTCCCTCTTTTCCTTGGGTTCTTTGACTTGACTGGGCCAGTGTGGCCATGAGCTACTCGATCTTTCCTTCGGCTGCTCTGTGGTGGGGAGTAGCTCTTGATCATCGTGCCCACCCTCTCTAGGAAGCTTGAAACCTCTGAAGGAAGCAAGTTTCCCTGAAGATATCGACCAATTACTGGGAGATCATTTTTCAAATCTTCAACCTACAAGTCACAAGCATAAGCACACCAAGGGCCAAACTATAGGCAAAAGGTATGGAATATGGATAATTAGCTTTCTATTAAGGGCTTACCATTGTAGAAAAATTATGAGAGGTATTCAGACTGCATCCTGCATCATTCTGTCCAGCACTAGACTCATGTAGTGGAAGGGAGTTGATATTGGTTTCCGCAGGAGGGGTGAAACGGCAGCCAACCAATTGATGAAACTCCTCAATCTCACGAGCATACTCAGCTCTCCAGTCTTTCCACTTACTCCAAGTTCTTCTTGCCCACATTGGCACACCATGGAGGCGTCCTTGTTCCCTTCCAAACTGCCTAGCAAACCTGTCAGGCACATACACCTCCTTTATGTTAAAGCTGATTAGCCAAGTCCGAGAGTAGCAGATGTTATCTGCTGCAATGCAATATTCCAGAACAATTGCTGGATTTATGCCCTTGTAAGGGTTCCAATTGACCTGAAAACATAATTGGGATAGTATATATGACATAACAGTTGAAAAATTGGCACACATTTATAAGTAGGTAATTTTGGACTTGCCTCAGAAAATTGAAGTTGTTCAAAAACTTTTCTCCACTCCATGACTTTTTTCCTCTGTCCACGTGTTGCTCCTCCAAAGTTCCACCGACAAGCCCGGGGCAGCAAAGTGCTCTGGTTCTTCTGTTGTGGTTGAGTAATAGGAAGGTACTCATAAATCCAGGCCTTATGGGAATAAGGGAAAACCATGATTAATTAAGCAGATAATACAATAGACAATACCATAGATAATAACTTGAACTTATTCAGATAAAGAGCACACCATGAGCAAAGTTGCACTGCCGAGAAACTGCGTTGTGGCATTAGGTGTCACTGCAACAGACAATCCCCTGTACAAATGAGCGAGGGCTGCAGCCCCCCAAGCATACTCACGGATCTTCCTAAAATCTCCCAACAATGGTAGATATCTTGGGGATACAAATCCCCTCATGGTGTCAGGAAACAAGGTGGAACCAACCAGGTATAGAAGGTAAGCTCGGGTGCTATATGCAATGTCATTGATGGTCGGATTTTCCGGCAGTTGATGGAAATTCCTATACAACCAAGTCAACCTAATTAAGCCACACAATTGCTCTCCATTTCCAGGGCTCTCTCCTAAATAATGCAAGCACATCCGCTTCACAGCTTCATCACCAATTGGCTCTGCGGTCACCACATGACCAGTCACTGGAATGCCGAGAATGTAGGAAACATCGCGAAGTGATGGTGCCATCTCAAATCCCATGAAATGTGCAGTATTTGTTTCATTGTTCCATCTTTCACAAAATGATGTAAGCAAAGAACGATCAATGGTAAACCCGGTGGTAAGTGCCAGATGTCCAAGACCACTAGCATTAACAAGCTGTTGCTGCTCATCAGTCAGAACCCATTCTTTTAGCTTTCGAGTCTGCTGGCTTGGAAGCAGAACACCATACCGCTACAAAATTTTCATTATCTCAGTATGTATTTTGTTTAAGATGCCCAAGTAATAAAAGGAACAAGGAATGCGAAAGCTACATACTGTCCAAATTTGTGAGCTACCAACTGGCCTTCGGCCATTTGCCTTTTGTTGCTGTGTTATCAAACCCTGAGGTGCAAGGTCCATTTTGTCCTGAGAAGCAAGACTGCAGCTGTAAGATGTAAGATGGAAGCATCAACAGTTTACACATGAAAAATGAATAATGGATAAAAAGATGCATGGTGTCATGGTGAGTATTCATTGTTTTTTCTTTTCTTCAATCCCCTCATTCTTTTTATTTTTACTCTTTTCCAAAATCTAAGAATCTAATAGTTGTGGTCTTAAAAAAACTAAACCAGATAGTTTTGCGGTTTTGCCCTTAGGAGATCAATGATTTAGTATGAACTGCACATTGTAACTCCCTTATACAACAAAAAAAATGTTACATACATGTAACAGCTTCTAACAGAATCGCTATTACTCTAAATCACTTATTGTATTCAGGACATGTTTAACCATCTTTAAAAAAAAAACTATTCGTCTTGAAAGAAACTCCACCTTCTGATTGTCACCAATGAAACAGTCCAAGTGCACACGGACACATAACGCTATTACTCTAATCACTTATTGTATTCAGGACATGTTTAACCATCTTTAAAAAAAAAAAACTATTCGTCTTGAAAGAAACACCACCTTCTGATTGTCACCAGTGAAACAGCCCAAGCGCACACGGACACATCAGCTCCAAGCCTCCAACACACCCAATGCTACGAATCTACCACATACCAACCAGAGCTACATAAAATCAGGCAGATATCACTGCCCAGTAAACGCACACAGTGCTTCATGCAGTACATGCACCCTAATTTTGCACAGCATTTCGCAGCATCTTCCAAACGGGACTAGCCCTACATTCCTACCAAGGCCAGACATCGCCACACGAAATACAAGCGTCTCGAAAACCAGGGTTCCTTAGGGGAGTGAAATCCGTGCACCAATCAATCCATCAACCAAGAATCACCAACCGAGGAGCGAAAGGTTAGCCCGGATCTGGGCTTGAGGTCCAGATCGAATCCACCAATGAAACGGGGCAAGGACAATGACGACGAGGGGGCAGCGGCGGCAGAGACTGCTCACTCACCGGCGAGGTGTCCGAGGGCGCGCCGCGCGCCTCGCCGCCTCCGCCTTCGCCTCCGGTGGCGCTGGTCGTCTCCAATCCCACTTCCTCGGTGGGACTTGGAGATGGAAGCAACCGTGGGAGTCGGGCGGCTGTTAAGTGATAGATGAGAGGAGCTCTTCCACTGGCTGCCACAGGGGCCCAGAAACTTAGAGCTTGGAACGCAGAAATCAAAAAAACGGGAATAGAAAAAAACGCAGAAACAAGATGAATGTGTATTGATAAAACAGAGAAAAAAAAAAAAACACGAAAAATAACTAGAAGTGATGTATGGAACGTAGGAATCTATAACACAGGAAAACACAGGAAGTAACATGTTAATTTCCTACTTTCCTTGGACAAGCTCGTAGGAAATCAAACCCAGAGATCTGAGTTGATTCTTTTTTTCTTTAAAACGAGCGTCTGCGGGAGCCTTTTCTCTGGAAAGGAACTCACGAATCCTCCATTCCAAACGCTGCTACAGTGTTTTAAAATGTAGGAATCTGATTCCTTTAGAATTCCTTCGAAAATCCTGTAAACCAAACAGGGCCTTAGCTGCGGGTGGGGCCCATATTTCAGTGAGAAGCCGCTCGCGAGTGAAGGTGAAGGACCGGGTCCAGTCCAACCCGGAGGGGGGAGGCACCGTGTCATCTCGTCGGTCGGGTTCGCGTCGCACGAGCCCGAGTTAAAACCCTAGCCTCCGCAGCCCCGTGTTCCCCTTTCCCTTTCCCTCCTTTGCGATATTTAACTTTTTACCATTATAACGGATGTCACCTCTTCAGATAGTTCTCTTAAAATTGCTCCTACATATTTATCATCGAGAGAGAGCATTTGATACATTCTTGCCATTTTCGCTGACGTGGCACGCCAGCTCGACCTGACAGCATAGACCGGCCACGAGAAATGACATTTTTGCCCCCTCATCTATTTCTTCTATCTCTACCCCTTCCTCGCTCGACCTCCCGCCGGAACATGGCGGGGTCCAGCAGCGACGAGAGGGAGCCGTCCAGGTAGAAGGACTCGTGCTCGAAGCCGTCGAGGAGGGCACACGTGACGTGCGCCTCCAGCGCGTGCTTGGCCAGCTACGAGGAGGACACCGGGATCTAGGTGAGCGATCGAGTGGCCGCAGCGAGCTCTAGCCCAGCGACACGCATCAGTCTTGCGAGGTGCCCCATGAACGCCTGCGTCGCCCGACGCGGGCTGCTTTCAGCACGAGAGGTGAATAGCTCCACCGCCGTACCCACCGGGGCGCTCGCTTGGAGAGCGGGTGGTGGTGGTGGCGCCCGTTACAGCGGCTGGTGGCCGCCGCGAGCTTCTCCTTGAGCCCGTCCACCTTGGCCTGCTTGGATTGGAGCTAGCACCGGAGGTCGTCGAGCGTCGCCTCGTACGGTGCCACGGCCTCGTGGAGGGGCGGCGTGGAAGGGTTCGAGCGCGGGATGTGGCCCGCGGCGACGAAAGCGGTCGCAGAGGCTCGTGAGGTGGCAGAGCTCGACGACGACGGCCGCATCCGCGGCGCGCATCTTGTCGGGGTCCCAGGGGCAGTGCGCACCCTAGAGCGCGAAGTAGGCGCGTGAAAGGTCCTAATGGCTAGATGGGGGTGAATAGTCTATTAAAAATTCTACAACAATACTTAGCAAACCGGTTAGACAGTTATGAGGCAAAGCAAATGTTGCGCTAGCCTACTAAAATTGTAAGCCACCTACCATAATTCTAGTTTATATAGTTTCTATCCACACAATGGCTATATCACTATACTAAATTAGTGTGCTCTCAAGGCTAACTAAAGAGCCATACTAAGCAAACTAACAAACTCTCACGACTAGCTACACTAAAGAGTTTGACAACTAGTTTGCGGTAATGTAAAGAGAGTGAGCAAGATGGTTATACCGACGAGTCGAGAAATGAACCAATCAATCACAAGAATGAATACCAATGAAGACCAATCACCTCGGAATTAAATGACGACACAATGATTTTTTTACCGAGATTCACTTTCTTACCGCAAGCTAGTCCTCGTTGTGGCGATTCACTCACTTAGAGATTCACGTGCTAATTGGCATCACACGCCAAACCCTCAATAGGGTGCCGCGCAGCCAATACAAGATAAGGATCACACAAGCCACAAATAATTTACTAGAGTACCTTTTGGCTCTCCGCCGGGAAAAGGTCAACAGCCCCTCACAATCATCTCGATCGGAGCCGAAGACAATCACCAACCTCCGCTCAACAATCCTTGCTGCTCCAAGCCATCTAGGTGGCGGCAACCACCAAGAGTAACAAAAGAATCCTACAATGAAACACGAACACCAAGTGCCTCTAGATGCAAACACTCAAGTGATGCACTTAGATTCACTCCCAATCTCACAAAGATGATGAATCTATAATGGAGATGAGTGGGAGGGCTTTGGCTAAGCTCACAAGGTTGTTATGTGTAGGGTCGAGATAGCGACTAGAGGGGGGTGAATAGTCATTTCTAAAACTTAATCGTGTTGGCTAACCGAAACAAGTGCAGAATTAAAACTATCGGTCTAGCCAAGACTACAACCCTCTATCTATGTTCTCTACCACCTTGCAAAGATCCTAATTAAGCAACAAATGTGTCGGGCTAACTAGAGCTCACCTAACTAATTATAGGAGCAAGGTCACACAAACCTATGTCACTAGTATTTCAAGCAACGAGGGAGCTTCTACACATGTTAGTAAGCAAAAGCACAAAGCCAACTAAGCTCACTAGCAATGCTCAATAACAAGGCAACCAATGCCAAATTAGAGAGCGCAAATACTTAGCTACACAACCTAAGCAAAGTGACTAACAAGGTTACATAAACCAAATTAGCCACACAAAGGAGCTACTTCTATGCTACATGTCGGGGACCTAATACTAGGGTACCCAATGAGGGAGAATTGATAAACATCGTTGACACTTCCAATCGGACAAGAGCGCAACGACGCCTCTCGCCCAAAACCAGGGAGATCGATTCCACCTTGCCCGACCCTCAAGGGCCAGGCTTCGCCTCGCCCGATCCCCGAGGGCCAGACTCCGCCTCGCCCGACCCCCGAGGGCCAGACTCGCCTCGCCCGACCCCCGGGGGCTAGACTCTGCCTCGCCCAACCCCCGAGGACCAGACTCCGCCCCGTCCAATGTCTGGGAGCTAGCTACGCCCCGCCTGATGTCCGAAGGTGGGCTCCGCCCCATCCAACGACCAAGGGCTGGCCTCGCTCGTTTGGCCGACAAGGGCTAAACATCGCCTCACCTGACGCCCTCACCCCGCCCCTCCATAATGACAGGAACAGGGTAAGACGGGATGTTAGAGTCAAACCGCGGCAGCAGGGACCATGCCTTGTGCCACTAACAAGTACCATCGAGGTACGATGGGACGGGCGCTTTAGGACCTGCCAGACCTAACAGAGCCTAAACAGTGCTGTAGGCGTCGGGTTTTTCGGTCTACAGTATTGTGGGCGCCACCTTCAACCCTCGGGCGCGGAGCCTGACACAAACGCCGCTATGACACTCATGTTCCTGTAGTGACAAGCGCACGGGCGCCGCACCGTTCGCCCCCCCCACAGTGTTGCAGGTCGACACCCTTGTCCGACACACCGCCCGCAGGGACGGGATGGGACGTGACCACTTGCAGGGCATGACATCGTTAACGCACGCATACCCGGTGAACGCGCCCCCTCTGACACCATCCGGCTATGTCAGAGGGAGGGCTGGCCCAGAGGAAGAAGAAGACCCGGCGCTTTTCAGAGGACCTTCTTGGTCTCTGGTTTTGTATCCTTCCTCCGCCATGTAAGCCCTGCTCCCCTTGGTCTATAAAAGGAGGGGCAGGGCACCCCGCTAAAGGAGAGAGATCAACTTTCAACGAACAACTCACATACATAGCCAAGCCGCCGTCAGGCTCTTGGCCTCCTTTCGACCCTTCCATCAGAGACCTAGGACCAGTCTCTCTCTCGACCGTTTGTACCCCCTACAATAAACCATTTTCGGTGCTAATAACACGAGCAGCAACAGACTGGACGTAGGGACATTCAGCCCGAACCAGTATAAATCTTGTGTCCATTAGCGCACCATCCAGGCCTAACGCGCATAACTATAAATTTACTTGCCGGTGCTTATTCGAAACACCGACAATTGCCGGTAGGAGACTTTATGCGTTCCAAATCAGGCCTCGGATGGCTAACCACGCAATCAGCTAGGTCCCGGGCACACATGTGCGTTTCGGTGACTTGGATTTCATCGTCACACTGGGTGGAGAGCTGGCACTGGCCCACGCGGCCGTCCAGTCCCTCCCTCCCGTCAACTTCAGCTACCGGAGGCTTGAGGGCCAGCCCGGCGTCTCCCTCGGGCCCCAGTCATCCAGGAAGGCCCCACGCCACATCACCCTCTCTCTGGAACGCTCCACATGGCGCGCCTCGATGGCGTTGCCGTTCGGCCTCCGCAACGCTGTGGCAACCGCTGGCCACCATCTGGCACTACGCATGGTTCAAATTACCTATGGACAGCGAGTTCGTGGGGGCAATTGAACACGATCCGGAGACACTCCATGGGCTCCTCACGGAAGAACCAGAGTCGTCCTCCAGCTCTGACTCTAGCAGGGGGAGCCATCACCCTTCCTGGGAATGCTTCATGACGCAAACCCCCGAGGGGCACGTCCAAAGCATCTCCGGAGAGGAGGCAACCCCAACAGGCAACCCCGATGCTAGGATGAGGGGGAGGCGGTGGCTCCATCTCACGTAAGGATGGAGCAGCTAAGAGTGCGAAAGCTGGAGATCGATGACGCCGGACAACAACTTGTCCGGGAGTACCTAAAGATCGATGAGGAAATCAAGCGTCGCGGAGACAGTGGGCACGCACGCGTCGCAGCCCATGATGTGCACCAGAGGATCCTCACCAATGATGGGACTCTCCCTCACTTTGCTCGGGCAAGCCAGAACATCGCCGCCACGACGGCCTTGCTTCATGGCCTCCCGGAGGCCGCGATGTCCGAGGATCGCCGGGCCCACAGAGAGATTCGCACGTTGCTCGAGCGTGCGGCGGCGCAGTAGGCGGAAAGCTCGTTGTCTCGGCGACACGAGCCCGACGCCAGCCAGCGCACGCCCTCGGTACGCCCCG